CTGAAGGATCCCAAACAAAGACGCTTCTTCAAGTCTAACGATATCTATGAGCTCTTCACGCTGACTGACCCAGATGGAGCTCAGGGAACAGAGACCAGTGCCATATTTGCAGGTCAGTGGATGCTGCTTTTATTTGCCCCTTTTTTTTTTATCTTGTACCAGAGAAATATTTTATTTTCTGAATGTATGAAAATGTAAGTTTTTAAAGGTTGTGTTTTAAATCCCATACAGGTACTGGCTCTGATGTCAAAGCACCCAAGAAACCCGAGAGGCCGAGGTCCTCACACAATGTGAGACACGGCAGCTCCGGGCTTAAACACTCCTCAGCAGACCAGAATGAAGCTGGTTCAGACAGGAGACACTCCTCAGCAAACATTCCTGCTGTAAGAGATGGAAAAACATCTCCGTGCAGTCAAATCTCTCAGGGTAAATCCAATGACACGATGGACACCCAAAGCGGTACGGGTGTAGAACCACATCTTTCAGCAAATGCTCAACAAACAGGACAGAATAACTGTGACGCCGCCAAACACTCCAACACGCTGAGCTCTGAACAACACGGAGACTCTGCTCTAAGCAGCCCACAGAAACACAGAGAGAAGAGGAAGCACTGCGACTCCTCTGGCTCAGACAAACGCAAACATAAGAAGAGAAAACACTCCAAGGATGCTCGCTTTGAAGGCCACCGCATCTCTCACTTGGTAAAGAAAAGGAACTTTAATAAAGAGGTCGGTGAAGAGAACGAGGCCGACAACCCGAAGAAATCAGACGATTACGTCTTGGCAAAGCTCTTCAGGAAATCTGGTACGTTTTTTTTTTTTTTGTCAAACTAGGGTTGTGTGCTATATGCTATATGAAACATGTGTGCTATATAAAGACCATTTCCTAGAAGTTTCTTGGCTGGACAACTTGTCTATTACCAGGAAAGGGTGGGTGGGTATGTGTGTATCAGAACATGACCTAATGACCTGGCTAAAGTCATAAATTAGATTACCATTGGTTTGTGCCTGTTACTGTCCAGATTGTGTATTTCTGTTATGATTCAACCTTTCAAACTACAACATTACAATCAGAATTTAAAACTTTGAAATGATACTAGTAAAAATGAAAAAATATAAATTCCAAGTCCTTAAGCACCTGAGATGGTTTAATTTAATATTTGTAACTACCAATAATGTGTTGCCAACGTACTTGTGCATTTTAGACTGCTCTCTCTCTCTCCTTTGGTTATGTATGACTTAATGATATGAGATTTTTTTTATCTTTCTGATACTATCAGTCATGAAAATATTGTTCTTTAACGTCAAAATTATTTAAGTTTTAAAAAACATGACAACCTGGGAGTGCCAATGGTCTAGCGTTTATGTCGCTCGCCCCACGTACAGAGGCTATAGTCCTCGTCCCTGTGGTTGTGGGTTCAAGTCCGACCTCGGCACTTTACTGCGTGTCATCCCCTACTCTCACCTTTGAATAGTTACTGTCTCTCCTCAGCTGTCTTATCTAATAAAAGAAAAAAGACCCAAAAAAACTTTTTTTTTTTTTAAAAGGACAATCTAAGTGCAAACCCTCTCAGACAAATTTCAGTTAAGTTTCATGTAGAGTAAGTAGAGGTGGGAAAAAGTCGATTTATGTTAAAATCGAGATTCTTCTCTTTTAAGATTTGAAATCTTTTAATAACTTCCAAAATTTGATTTTAATTTTTTTTATTTAAAAAAAACTATAATAATATTTTTTTAATAAAAAAAAAAAATATTTTTTGGGCTAATCAGTCACTTCCTGCTAAGTGCTAAGGCTAGCTCTTTAACTCAGTAGAATGCCAAATGGAGGAGCAAGAAATTCAGTCAGTCAGATGACTGGAGTAAATCCTGAAGTTTGGACTCATTCATAAATAGACTTTGAACCCTTGGATCCATGAATACAGAATCATTTAGAATCAAATCATGACCCCAAGAACCGAAATCGAATCGTGAGACACCCAAAGATTCCCAGCCCTATCAGTAAGGTCTTGTGTTTATTGTTGTCTTCAGGTATCCACAGTGTGATGCAGCATGACGCCATCATAGAGTCCTCCAACCCTGACTACGTCCTGGTGGAGGCCGAAGCTAACAGGGTGGCCAAAGACGCCATGAGAGCACTAAAGGTTTCTCGCCAGAAGTGCAGGCTGCCGTTCAACAGACCCCCTCCTCCACCTGCAAGGTAAACACTCACACACTGGGGTTGTTTAAAGCATCACTCATCTATTTGTTTAAAACAAACATATCTCAGTTTTTCTTTGTTTTCTTTGTCAGGAAACGGTTTGGACAAAAGAAGAATTCTCTCCTGGTTGATAATTCAGTCAAATCCGTCTCTACATCAAGCAAATGCAAGGTAACTGAAGTGTTATTATCCAGTATAGTTAAGTCAGATATTTCTATTTGTTACCTGGTGTGGTATTTAATGTGCTCCTTTCTTTAGGATGCTGCTATTATAAAGAAGTCTGTTTCAAAGAAGCCAGGATCAGCAGCTCTTTTCAGCGGGAGGCGGCAGAGAGCGAACCAAACTCCGCCCCGCTCTCCTCCTCCTCCCTGCTGGCCAAGATGAGAGTCCGTAACCACGTCAGCCTGCCCTCCAGCCAAAGAGATGAAGCGGGAGAAGAGGAGGAGACCGCCTCTGGAGCTGCAGGGCCGAGCTCCCCGGCTCCGCCCACAGAGCACGACGAGCTGCTGGTGGATCTGCGTAACTTTGTAGCCTTCCAGGCGACTGTGGACGGAGAGGCCACAACTAAGGAAGTGCTGGAGTATTTCAAACCGAGGCTGACCCAGAATCAGGCGCCGGTATTCAGAGAGCTGCTCAGGAGCATTTGTGACTTCCACAGGACTTCTGGTCAGGAGGGGATCTGGAGACTGAAGGAGGGCTTCCGCTGAGAGATGCACAGACAAAAGAGGAGGAACAACTGAACTGTGACGCATATCTGAGGACTTGTATTCCATTAGACTGTAGTGCTCAGGCTAACAATAATTTACTTTTTACTTGTTTTTTGTAACTGTTTAACAAAAATACATCAGTCACTTTACATCCAAACAGATACTGTCATTTTACTTCAACCAATTTAACAAATATCTATTAATGGTAAAGGAAAGCCATGCTGCAGTTTACTGCCAACTCAAAGAACTGTCCGTTTTCCAGGTTACTCAGTCTTATAGAAAAAGTCTGTTTCAATCTTTTTTTTTTTTCTGCTTCCATGTTTGTTCTCCTTCAAGCATTTTGTCAGTTCTTCTATGTGTTGTCTGCATCCTGTTACACTTGAATTCACTTGATTTATTACTGTTCTACCCTGAAAAGGATTTACTGACATATACATGTTGTTGTTTTCCAATTGTGTCGACTTATAAGCTCACTGGAGAAGGCTGAGTAAAATACTTTTATAAAATGTGACGGGATGAAGTGTATCATTTTGTAAACATGACCTTATCACCACACGTTTTAGTGGATTTTGTAATAACTGACATTTCTTGAATTGTACGTACAAATACGACGACGGTTTGGCATTGTTTACAGAGTTGTGTTTTAATGACCTACCTCCAGTTATTTGTGTTGAATCAGACAGAAGCTGAAGAGTTATTCAGCTGCCATGATTTAAAAGAAATAAAATAAAAACTCGTGGTGCCGTTCTGTATGAATTCACCTCTGAAGGTTCTTTCATTTGCAGTCTAGAGAGTAAAGGAAGATGAGCTCAAATCAATTATAAAAAAAAAGGTATTTGATTTTCCTGGTAATACAGTTCAGAGTGAAACATTAAAACTTTGGAGCCATTTTAACAGTTTGAAGTTAATGAACATATTTCCAATAATATTAAAGGAATTTAAGTGAATTGTCAAATGTTTCATATATCAGAATTGGTAATAATGTAAAGTCCCTGATTAGAGAGCCAGTGAGAGATGCTGAGCGAGGTCCTGAAATGTAAATAAGGATAGAGATCTTGTGACCCTGGACAGGATATGAAAAACTCGTTAAAATTTCTCGTTAAACTGTTTCTAACCAAAGTAGACGAGAGAATAATTTTACTCACACACTTAGTTATTTAAGCAATCATCAGAGGATGGAGAGGGAAGGCGCTGACAGGAAACACACACACACACACACACACACACACACACACACACACACACACACACACACACACACAGGCCTGCTCTATTGTCAGAGTTGTCTAGACCAAATATTGGGATAAAGTTATCAACCGTTATTTGATTTCAATTTTCTCCACGCACCTCGCCGAGGTCATAATAACAACTTTATTTTCAGTGGTGCATAAATTAATTACGCGCATTTAATAACTAAAATATCATTATATTCCCCCTTTAATAACATAAACGCTGCACGCCAGGGAAACCCTTAATAGCGCGGGGCCCTGTAACTGGCCATTATCCGCCTGTAATGATATTACAGAACCAATTACGCGCCATTAGAAGGGATTTTCTGCACTTTATGTGGTTTAGTCCAATCCCGCACTCCTCTTCTAAATTTCAGCTGCTTCTCGAAGCCTCATTTTGCCTCCACCTCAGAGACGCATGGCGTCTGCGCTCTGCCGTCCCAGATGCGCTTTAAAACTAATTGAAAGGGTCCCGCAGCACATCATTTATCTGAGGAAGCGAAATAAATCGCAGGACCCCTTGCTGTGAACAAAATCAAAAATTTGGCCTTGTGAGTGTTCTACATGCGCAACCCCTTGTAAAGTGGACCTGCTAACACACCCTGACGAGCAATTAACCCACCCGACAGTCAATCTAAAACCCAAAAGCAGTCATCCTCCTTTTTTTAATATATGAAAGAACCAAATAAAAAGTGCAGCGGGTATGTGTGCATGTTTATGGTTAGGGAATTTGCTTGACTCTCGAATAACAATCACTTGTGATGAATTTTTTGGCACCAGAGCAGAGCTGCCGTTTGCCACCCTGGGTACATCTCCCCTCTCTCACTTCTCTTTCTTCCTCTTTCTCTCTCTCTTTCTGTCTTTCTCTGACACACACACAGACACACACACACGCTAGCACCAGGGGTTGGGGGTGAGAGAGACAAAGCCGTGATAATCCGATTAGGACCAATTAGGCGTGAGATTCTGCGACACTAGCTGAAAGCCTGAACACTCTGTAGACAGTTATACAGTTATAGAGACATCTGGACACTCCCAGAGAGACACACACACAGAATTGAGTGTGTATGTGTGTGTGTGTGTGTGTGTGTGAGAGAGAGAGGAGAGAGAGAGAGAGAGAGAGAGAGATGTGGACACTCCCAGACAGAGAGTCAGAGGAAGTGCAGCAGTCACCTCCTCCCTCAGAGCGGGAAGTCATTCTCCTCAGCATCCTCACTGCAGGTATACGATCCGCTCTCACTGATCATCTTTAAAGCCTCTCTCTAAGTCTCTCTATTCTTACTGCTAAATGAATGTGTGATTCCCTGCCAGCGATCTGGATTTCACTGCAGCAGCTGAAGTCAGTCTGAGGCTGCGAGTTCAAACTTTTGTCTCTGTTCCAGGTTTGGTTTCGCAGCTCAGAGACGCGTCAGGATGTTCTACTTCCACTGTCCGCCTCAGCTGGACGGAGAGTGCTGCCGCTCCAACACATGTGAGTTGTCTCTTTGGCATTATTCACAAAAAAAAAATGTCATCAATTTTATTCCACACAGCTGTGAGTTATAGCTTACGTTTCGGTTAGAAGTTTGGACATGTTCGCGATGCGTAATTGCGCACAAAAGCGTGTGTGTTGTTCGAGGCCTGAGCAGATCCTTCCTCCGTGTTTTGAATCTTTGTTTTTCATCATTGAACGATCGTTTTAATTAAAGAAAGAAAAAGACACGGGCCTACGCGAGTATAAAAACAAATGTTCTGCTGTAATTAATTTAAAAAAATCACATCAAATCGGCACAACAAGCTATGAAACAGATTATCCGCCTTGAAGACGAAAAGTTAAATACTTTGGATGTTTTATTTATCACCAATATCATTTGAATCATTTTCAGTGACCTGATCTTTGCGCCTTCTGTCAATTCCAAATGTGGATTTAAAGGGTTAAGCGTGATTTCCTCCTCTGTTGTGTCAATCTGCTGGCTGTTCTGGTGAGGAGCGCTGGTGCTCTGGCCCCGGGGCAGAGGGGGTGTTTTGTCCCGGGCACAGATGTTGGGTGTCATGGCTCTTAGTCCGTCATGGTTCCCCTCAGACTCCCGACATCAATGTTTCATGCAACTAATGGAAACACGAAATGTGCCAAAGAGTAAACTCCCTAATCTGTCTGCTTTGGCCAACAACATTTAGAGATTTATTTCCCCTTTGTTCACATCGTTTCCACGAGTTCCTTTTAACATAATTAATTCAGTATTTTAAATACACACTGTAACAATACAACTCTTTTTAATAAGTTGTATAAATGACTTACAAACTTTTTTTTCTCTCTCTCTCTCAGTGAATTCAAGCGGATTTGGCAACCACGCTCCGGCTGATTTTGATGATGGATTTCTACGAAGAAAACAGCGAAGAAACAGAACAACGTTTACTTTGCAACAGGTAATTATTAACCAGGGAGGAAAAACAGCACATTTTAATTTACCTTAAAGTGAAGCAGACCGAGGCCTCGATGTTAATGTGAAAGAAAAAAAAAAAAGAAACAATTGTCAAAGTTTGAAGGAGGAAAAAAAAAGACTGGAGAGAAAAGTAGACAGGGCATCAACGCCTTTACAACTGATTTGACAAGAAGACTATCACAAATAAATTTAAGATAATTGGTTTAAATGCAGGGGAATTAAAAATACAATAAAAGGGCACTTGCAGAGATAATTGTGTTTTTGAAGATTACGCGTGGAAATACAATTTGATTGAATTCAAACTGTTCTGAAGACTCCATATCCAGATAAAAGATAAAAGAGGAAAGCTCCATAGAAGTTCATATTCAGTATAGGCCTTTATATCCTATATCTGTAAAATACCTGCAAACTTGAGTGGATTTGTGATTTTTAAATATACTTGTAGGCCTACTCTTACTTGTATTTTTAAACTTATTACCTATTGTTTTTTAATTTCGGTTATTTTAGCCTCCTTAACTCTTTTTCATCATCGCTCCCACTGAGTCTACATGTGAATCCATGGCGTGCTTATCTGTGTGTCACGTTGTAAAGCTGTATCAGATAATAGTAAAGCCACAAAAAGTCTTTCCCTGATGCGCTTTATTTAAAACTAGGAGGGGCTGAAACCCAGGCTGCTGCTAACGTTAGCTCAGCTTCAGTGCATACCGGCTATACAACAGTGATAGCAATTAAGTGTAGACGTATAAAGCTATAATAAATGATGGATATTTGAGTGTTTTTTTTATCATTCAAGTATTGGAAGAGTTCTAGCTATTGACCAAAACTTCCAAGTCTAGGTATGGAATCAGTGTTAGGAAGAAATGGTAGTGAAGCATGTCTTCTCTCTGTGCATTTCATGTGTAGTTTTAATCACTTGGCTGTTTTTTTCACGCTCAATGCTGACACTGCACGAGTCCCTACAACCTTCTTTTTCATACTTCTTCCATTTCATTGTGTAAAGAGAAGCTCTGAGGATTTGTTTCTAA